CCAATTACTAAGAGTCAGGCTCAAAGTATAGAGCAATGTCCCAACATGAAAGCAAAGAAGAAGCTAATTCTAAAAATCCCTTCAAAGAGTGTAGTTGATAGTCTTGTATCCGTACAATAATTGACACATCCTCTGTAGTAAGACTGATGAGTAGGCATCGGTCCAATTCTGGTATGACTCACTACGATGAGTCAATAGGGTCCTCTGATATTTGATTTAAACTGCATTTTATGTATTATACTATGTCAAAACATACTCTCGCCTATAGACATATTCAGATGTCAACTGGTCGATAATCTAGATGGGCGAGCGTCAATCTCTAAAGTTATGTTCTCTTATTGAATGAAGAGGTTATTTCTTGTAGCAAGAAGCATTAGTGTAGACCCCTTTTCCACTTGGAGCGGAATAGGTGGCGATATATCCAGTAATCTTGGTGTATTGGATGCAGTCTAGTTGTATGGATTCTTGGAGAATCTGACTATAGCGCGACATGTATATCTTGATATATCTTCTATCTTGATACCATGCCCATTCTTGGTTATTCGATAGAACTGAATTAGTTTGGGAAATTGAATAAAATTCAAATTGGGTACCACTGGATTAGATCTAAAGAGGAGGAGGAGATTTACCTATTTTCATACATGATTATGTATGATTTACAATATAGAACGAGAGGGGAAAAAAAGAATAAGCAAGTCTTTGACATAAATGTGTACTACAAATTACTCACTACATACTTCATAAGGAAAGTTTGGTAATAGCAGAAAGAAGATTCTAGTCAAAATATATCTTTTTTGTTAATAACATTAGCAATACTTATTAAATTTCACTTTTCTCCTTTTTTCCTAAAGACACCTTTTTTTAGAACAAATTATTTTCAATACTTGTATTTTCTTGAGAGAAAGGATGTAAATCAAACTTGAAATCCTTAACCATGTTTCATTGCTCTTGAAAACTTAAATTTTTATAGGTTTAATTGTTTATCTTTTAAAAAAATTAATAACATTAATTATGCAGAGCACCTAACTCAGCACCCTCTATACAGGCATCCGGCCTTGTTGGAGCCACTGTATCCTTCTTACAATCCCATCTCTTGTTTATCCCGGAACATAAATCAAACTCAAAATCCTAACCATACTATATTGCTCTTGGAAACCTAAGAACTTTTATATTTTGAGTTTTAGGGCCTGTTTGGTTATTTCCTAAAAAACCAAGAAATAGAAATGAAAACCAAAAAAACTCAAAAAGTACAATTTCATCCATTTCCATCCCTAAAACCCACCCACAACATCTAATAAAATATTATTTTTATCCAACAACTCATCCACCACATCTAATAAAATATTATTTTCATCCAATAACTCATCCACCACATCCACCACATCTAATAAAATATTATTTTCATCCAACAACTCATCCACCATATCTAATAAAATATTATTTTCATCCACAACATCACTCAACTCATCTCATCTCATTATTTCAAATCACTCACATCATCCAATAAGATGGTGACAACTCATCTCATCTCATTAACATTTTATTTCTACCCATTTCCTCCCAAAAAGTTAGGAAAACAATTTCCTTAAGTGTGAGTCACATCATCCAATAATATAATGATAACTCATCTCATCTCTTCTATTTTTTTTATTTTTAAGAATGAACCAAACAAAAGAAAATAACCTATTACAAGAAATAGGTTTGTTATAATTTATTTCCTTATTTTTTCGCCAACCAAACAACATCAAAATAAGTTTTCTTAAAAAATCACTCACATCATCTTATAATAAGGTGACAACTCATCTCATCTCATCTCCATTTCTTTGATTTCCTTCTTTTTTTAGCAAACCAGTACTTCAAGAACCTTTTGCGTGGGCTGGGCCTCTTCAACTTTGACCATGTTCTGTTCTCCGATGCTCTCAAGAGTCAAGACTCATAGTCAACATTTTTGCCGATCACTGAAAGGCCTTTGAGCTGGCGTTTGCTTCCGCTTGTGACTAAATTGGGCTGGGTTGGAGTTAAGACCGGTTCAAATGGTAATATTCGACGTGACTGCAGCGTGTTGAATTAGGCCGCCTGTTTGTGACTCTGACTTCTAATCCCTTTATTTGGAATTAAGGCCTTTTCGGTGAGTTACAGTGGCGTAAACAATTAATTATGCTCTTGTAGAACTAAATAAGGCATAATGCCTTTGACTAATTTTGTTTATTTTTGGTTGCCAAATGATCAACAGTTTCCCATTTGAAATCCACAAGCTTGATAACGTGACACTAAATCTTTTACTTCTTTTAACTAATGCAAGGACTTGCAAATATTTGTTGATGTCAAATTGGCTGCATAAACTACTACATCATGAGTGTGATGGGTTTAAATAAGAAGAAAAAAAACTACTACATGTTTTCTAGAAAAATGAAGATCCAATGACCTCCCCAACTGCCTAGTTGCTAATCATTAATCATACATTAGAAATACATGTTTGACTATGACACTTGTTATTACAGCCTTGTTCCATGTCAACCAAACCACCACGTAATGCAAGAAACAGGATGGTGTAAGTTTGTTTGAGCACTTAAGAGATAGAGACACTATGCAAACACATGCAGATATGAGGATATTTGAGCGTTGCAGGATAGGTTTAAGACACAAGTTGAGACCGCCAGGTCATGCCACTGAAAAAGGCGAATTGGAGAAGAGAGAGAGATAAGAGTGATCTTGAAGAGCGTAGTTTGATCTTGCTAGAACTTCCTAATTCTCTATTTCCTGCTTTATTTATAAGCAAAAGCTAACTGGTTTGTAGGAATGATTGCAATTAGGATTGAAAACAAATTAGATCAACTACTGATATGTTCATATTTGTATTCGTTTAAAATTCTTTGAATTCAAATACCCTCTGAATTTTATCAAATTCAAACATGAATAATATTTTTAACATTTATAGATATTTATCAAATATCAAAGTATATTTATTTGATTTCAAATTTATAGCTTATAAATATTAAACTATCTACTCGAGATAATACTTTTATATATATATGTTCAATTTTAATGAATTAATTTTGTTTAATAGAATTAAAATTCACAACATAATACATATTCCTTTATAGTTATGATTTATGAATTTTTAATTTGAATGTTTGTTTAAATTTTGATTTGGTAATCTCTCAGTTAGCATAAACCTTGTGTGTACGAGGGAAGGTTTTTTATTGCTATAATTTGGAATAACGAGGATAATCTTTTGGACATTCCTTTTTGATATTATTCATCGGGACAATAGAACAGGGACTTTTTTATATTTATTATTACAACTAGGATAATTTTGGAGACATTCATATATGAATAATTAATATATGTGCTAATCATATTATATATATGTAACAAAAAAGGCCCTCGGATTCAACGAAAAAGTTCCTATAAATAGAGCGAAGAAAATATCTACTAAGAAGAATTGTTGTCCTTGTGACCCCTATTATATGTATGAATCATAGGGAGGCTTCACATAACAGCGAGCATGCATGTTATAATTTACCCTCGCACTATATAGTATCGGAATAAACGTTAATTAACCGATAGCAACCTCAAGGTCACTTTATTAACATAAAAAGCTCCATGTTACCTAACTGAAGTTGCTAAATAACGAAGCTTTATCAGTAAAATCCTCCATATTATTTTAAAAATATTCTATCCCATAGTGCGTAAGAGATTTAAATCCAAAAATATCAACAAAAAGGCAAAAAGAATATGATACCATCTAAAGTAAACACATTTTGTAGTTCACCTTCAGAACTTTTTTTTTTTAAATAACTCGCCATGGAATCGAATCTAAAACTGTAGGAGTCATACTGGAACCTCCCAACCATCCAGATTAGCCGCGGCAGGTTTAGTTTACCTTCAAATTAAATACATGATACAATGATACAATCAACAATATTATTTTTTTTTAAAGTCCCCTTATGTTTGGGTGATTTCAGTTTTTGAATTCAAAAAGTGCACTCGTATTTGACGAAAAAGAAAATACCCTCACACCTGAAAAATCAAAGGAAACATCCTCAAACTTGGAAAAATCCAAAAAGTTAATAAAATGGTCGTTGATAAGTAGACCATAACGCTCCCCCTGGTTTCATGTCATGCACATATGACATGCACTAGAATCAATACTATACTAATAAAACAAACATCTATTTGCATATTTTTGCTACTTGGCAAATCCTAAGAGCTCTAAAATTTAATAAATAATTATCTTTATTTTCACAATCTCATCTTAATCCACTGTCCTTCAGATCTTGGAAATCTCTATTCCTCGTCTTTCATCTCCCTATAAATTGTTGACTTTATTCTCTTTTCAAAAAGTCTTATTTTTTGTATTCTCTCTTTCCCCAAAATTCTAATATACATACAAGAATATTAATTTAAATCTTGTGCATCGCACAGGCAACAACTAATACTAGTTATAATTTAAACAATCTACCTTAACATTAAAAGAAAAGATATTATTGTTTTTTGCTATTCAAAGGGAATTCAATGGCTGATTTCATCGTGAAAAGGTCTCTAGGTTCACTCGGAAAGAGTTTAGCATTTAAATTACTTAGTAATAGTAAGCTTGGAAGGTACAGCGAAAGCCTTTATCATTCACCAAACAAGGGGAGAGACTAGACAATAAAAAGAGGACAAGTTCAAGCAATATAGTTTTCTACAATCTCCAGCACTATGTACCATAGCATCAAAATTCTTCTAGGTGGGGAGCCATATCCGTGTAAGTATCCAGCTCATTTCCAGTTTTGATGTGCATTGGCGGAACTTGCTTCGAGTATGCTTTAATCATAGATTGGGTACACTATTTGGTTTATGGATTAATTTTCTAGCTACACACACCTACAATGATTTCAGAATTGGGACAAGATTGGATTATAATTTTTCATATTTACTCGATAAAAGAAAACAAACCACTACAAGCACAAGAACTCAACGCTACTAATTAGAATAAGCTTTGTGCAAATTTCACCTAAATAAAATGAAACAAAGGATTATACCAGATATTAAGACATAAAAAGTCATAACCAGGCAAGAGCACATTTATCCATATAAATATATCTTATTTTCAGCTCAGAAGAAGTAGCAAATTCACATAGAGAAATATTAAGAACTAGAAGCGGAGGCCAGACTTTTTTTTGGGGGGGGCTCTATGGTCCGAAAAGCAGGGCGTTGTCCAAATTTTAAGAGATGGGCAATTTCATAAGCAGGGCGAAGCTGCCAAATTGCCTGAACATCTAGATAGGAATTGCATGAGAAGCACCATACTGATAAATCACTGCCATAATTCAATACAAACAATAAGATCCAGGGAATTCTGCAAAGAATCCAAACAGCATATAATAGATGAATAAGTTTTGTACCTGAAACTGAGAGCTAAACAATGCCCAGTCTCTTGATGATGATTGAGCATGTGTTTATTGATAAATCGACTGCACAGGACATCTTTACAGCTC